TTGCTGAAAGAGTTACTCATGAGTGGTTGATTAAGTAAAGGTGAAATGTTACAGGTGCACCATTCAGACCACAGTTTAATTTAGGGCAATCTCTCTCTCTGGCAGGCGTATGTCAACCAATTCAAGTTTCAGAGCATCACAGCAGATGAAGCACTAGAGTTCTACTTGAATTATTTCCCAGAGCTGAAGAAGAAAGGGGTAGATACCATTCCAGGTCAGCAACAGTTCCTACTTTTTAGATATTTGTCCATAATTTCAGGACCAAGCACGTAACCTTTACGTAAATCTTGGAGGTGGCAAGTGTCTCTTTCCCAGTTCTCCAAAGACACTTTTTAAGATGGCGAAAACATCCATCCTTTGCATACTCTCCTTACTCTCCAGTTGCAAAAAACATCTCCAGAGTATTAGCCAAGTATAACTGCTAGAGAAGCATCATTCTGAATTGGCACAAAGCTTTGGGCAGCAGTTCTTCCTTACAGTCAAGGTGATTAGGAGTGAACATTCCTCCCAGTGTTCCCCATGCTTTTTCTAGATTCAGCTCACCATGTTGACTCTCTCCACCCATGATTCATTGCCTTTATTCCTTAGGTTGCATTTCCAAAGTACACATCTTGCCTATTAGTTTTGAAGGGCCAAAGTCTGGCAGAGCTCCTGCTACCTTTAAATGATATTGCATCTGATTACTAGCCAACAGCATCGAGGATGGTAATAAGAGAACCAGTTGCAAAACATCTGAGCTGGGCTTCTAGCTGGAATTCTGCTACCTGGGGGATAGCAGTCATATGAAGCTGATTGCTATTCAAAGGGTCAACAACTGTCTTAAGTTTTCTGGCAAAGAGCTGATGCTAAGGATCAACTTAATACATTATGCCTGTAAGACTGGGGTGAGGGATCTGCAGACCTGCAGATTTTATTGGACTCTGACTCCCATCAGCCCCTGCCAGCAGGGCCAATTGTCAGTGATGATGGGAATGAAAGTACAGCAACACCTGGAGGGCCATACATTAGCCATCACTGCTATAAACCATGCACGTTCCCACTGACCCATGGTTCCTCTGGTCATCTTTCCTCTGTCCAAAAGTGAATAATGTTTTGCAATCCAGAGGGTTGTTCTGCCAGACATTTAGGTAACTGCTGGCAGGAGCATGGAGACTCTAGATGCAGTGAAAGTAACGTGTGCCCTGGCTCAATGAAGTGAATGCTGTTGAATGCTTATAGTGGCATAACCACACTCCATAAACAAATCAGAACAAATGCTCAGTAAAGAGTAGACCTAGTCTAACCACCATGTAAGCTTTGTGCAAGCAAACCAGAATGAATAAACAGGTTGTTAGTAGCTTAAGAACTTCCAGTATTGAGTCCAACAAGCTTCCCTCTTCTCATTTCCCTTGTTTCCCTGGCAGGCTTTGAGTTTGATCGGTGGCTGAACACACCTGGTTGGCCCCCCTACCTTCCTGACCTTTCACCTGGGGAGGAGCTGATGAAGCCAGCAGAGAACCTGGCAGAGCTCTGGGCATCTCCTGACTGCGACATGCAGGCAATTAGAGCAGTAGATATCTCGACTTGGAAAACCTTCCAGGTGGTCTATTTCCTGGATAAGATCTTGGCGAAATCCCCGCTGCCAGATGGTAAGATTACACTTTGAGCGTGGCAGAGGGAATCGTTGCACTGTGAATAAATATTGCTGACATTGAGATGCAAGCCAGGTGACTCCCAAGAACTAGAGATTAGAGCATGGGATGGAATAACTTGGAGCTTTTGGGGGTGAGGGTAGAGAGTACCGTATTTTTTCGTGTATAAGACGCCCCCATGTATAAGACGACCCCTATTTTTTGAACCCAATTAAGAAATAAATATTTTAAACATTCCATGTATAATACAACCCCCAATTTGGGGGGAAATATAGTCTTATACATGGAAAAATACGGTATTTATGCATGGACGGACACCACAGCATGAGATGGCTTGTCCACCCTCAAGCAAACATTCATGCCTTTTATTATACACAAAGCAGCATACGTCACTTTGGCTAGGGCTCCCCATTGCTTCCCTTGACCACATGAGGGCATAGGTGGCAAATACCCATATCTTCAGTTAGTTCCCCTTTTGGGCTCAGAGCCCAGCACCTCAGGCCCACAGATGAGGATAGCATCAAAGCAAACCAATTATATATGGATTCACGGTTACAAAACTACCTATTAATTGTGGGGTTATCTTGACTACCAAGATGGTGCTTGCAGAGCTTCCAGAAGTGTTCACCTTTGGTTCAAGACACTTTCTGTGGGCATAAGAGCATGTGATCATGCCTTCCCTCTGCCTGTGGCTAGAAAAAAATACAATACAATAGCTTCCAGAGGGGTACCTTAAAAAGACAGTGGAGGAAATTTCAAGTCTGAAACATTTTAATGCAAAGCTCATGTATACAATTGCCTTTGCATACTTTGTACCCTCCAGATTTTGTCATCTGAGGCTGATGGGAATTGTAGTGTAAAACAGCTGGGTGGCACTGGCAAAGGCTGGTGAATAAGATGAGCACAGTGACCATTCAGAAAAAGAGTAATTGGAATATAGGGCTGTTGCCTACTTTTGCTGTGCTAATTTCCCTTCTGTTGTGGGAGTGAATGACCCTCAACTCTCATTTCATGCGAAGGGAACATTGAGAAGATGAGTGCCATGTACAGCAAGATCTCCAAAGCACAGAATGCAGAGCTGCGCCTCCGTTGGTGCCAGATTCTCCTCAAGAACAACCATGAGGCAGAGTTTGGCAAAGTGAAAGACTTCCTTCACAGCCAGGTTTGTGGTTGATCTGTCTGTGTGATGTTGGTTCGGAGGCATGTGGATCCTGTAGCTTTTACAAACATACATAATTGTATTTCTATGCCCCCTTTCCAAAGTTCAAACCATGCTCAAGGCAGCTTGCAACATGAAAAAAACACAAAATTATAGACATAACAAAAGTAGTCATAAACAATGAATAAAACATCAAAAGTATGCAACCGAATGAAACAATTTCCGCCTAAATCATAATAAGGTCTAAAATAAAGATACAAACATTAATATTGATAACAGCAGCAAACCCTCTGCCTCCAAACAATACCGCAACCCAAGAGTCTGTTCAGCAGCTTCAGCTTTTGTAGCTGGAGTCAGTCCGTGCCCTGCCCTCTCAGACCAGGTGGGAAAAGGCTTGCAAGACGGGAAGCAGGTCTTCTAGGACTCACAGCCAAGATAGTATTTTACCCACTGAACAGTAGATTGATCCCTTGTCTTGGTTGGAAGCTGGGGGACAGGCTTGGTGTGTCAGCCAGCCCGTTTCTCGCCATCTCCTTGGCCCTGCCCATCCCAGAACTAACAGTTCCTCCTTCTCAGAAACCAGTGGTGAAAGCTGCCTCTTGCCACAAAACAGGGAGTGATACTTTTAGCACAGGGGTGGAGAAACTTAGGCTGCCCATATGCTGTTGGACTCCGACTCCCATCAGCTCAACTATTGTGGCCCAGTGGTCAGGAATGACAGGATCTGCAGTCCACCAACGTTTGGAAGGCCACATATATTGTCATCATTAATATACTACTAAACTGTCAAAGCGCTTCTAAGCAGCAGTAGCAGCATGCCTGGTTTAGCCACAAAGGCCTCTCCCAAACAACAGCCATTTTGAATGCTTCTCTGTACTGGAAAGTGGATAAGAATGATCTTGCCTGTTGCATGTAAAAAAGGAACGTGTTGCTGATGAGGATTTCCTACTGCAAGTTTTGGAGAGAGAGAGAAATCCTAACCTTCATAGGAAGTTGTGGGGTGCTGCAGGCCACTGAGCAGATAGATTATATCCATTATAGACTACAAGTAACATGGGTTATTTATTTTGTAAAGGTAAAGGGACCCCTGACCGTTAGCTCCAGTTGCGGACGACTCTGGGGTTGCGGCGCTCATCTTGCTTTATTGGCTGAGGGAGCTGGTGTACAGCTTCTAGGTCATGTGGCCAGCATGAACTAAGCCGCTTCTGGCGAACCAGAGCAGCGCATGGAAACACCGTTTACCTTCCCGCTGGCGTGGTACCTATTTATCTACTTGCACTTTGTGCTTTCGAACTGCTAGGTTGGCAGGAGCTGGAACCGAGCAACAGGAGCTCACCCCATTGCGGGGGTTTGAACCGCCGACCTTCCCATCAGCAAGCCCTAGGCTATGTGGTTTAACCCACAGCGCCACCTGCATCCCTTATCTATTTGGAAAAGCACTCAAAATTCAGCATATATCTTTCAGCACACATGATTTGTTTCTGTTTCATCTTTGCATCAAAACCAGAAGGAACTCGGGCATTACAGAATGTTGCAGTGTGAAACCTAAGTGAAACTGAATGGCTATTGAGTAAGCACTGCTTTAGTGGTGAGTCGTTCTAATGCATTGTCGTTCTGTGCTTGATTTCAGGGAAAGCAGAAGTACACCCTGCCCATCTATCGCGGCATGGTGAGCGGCTCGGAGGCTGCACAGGCGCTGGCTGTGGAGACATTTTCTGCCACGGCTCCACAGCTGCATGTTAACGTCCAGAACTACGTCAAAAAGATCTTGGGGGAGAAGAGTTAAGGAAACTGAGAAGGAAATCACAATTCCAAAGCAGTCCATTGCTCAAAATTCAGCAAATCTCTGTATGCCATGCTGGGGGGTGGGGTGGGAGTCCTCCCATCTTTGGAGTCCTAAAGGACTTTGTTCAAATGCTGGTAATTTCCGAGGCTTCCCAGAAGGAGTAGCTTCCTCATGGATAGCCTGCTGATTTAAACTCCCCCCCCACTTTTTTTAAAAAAAGGTTTGTAAATGTAAACATAAAATTATATACACAGAATTTCTATCTCAAAGTTTCCAAAATGTGATATATAAAATGTAATTAAAATACAGAAATATGTTTTTTTGTTTTGTTTCTGTAAATAATAGTTGCCAGTTTTCATTATATCAGTTACATTTTTATCTGCCGTCTTTAGTTCTTTAAAAAGGGTATGAGTTTATCTACTGTTATTATTCATGCAACCTACTTTCTCATGTTCCTGTTTTGAGTATCTCTGTTCCCTTCCAGTACTTGGAACAAATTATCCTTGCAACCCATTACTATATAGCAGGTGTAGGGGGAACTTTTGACCCTCCTGATGTTACTGGACCACAGTTCCCATCATCCCTGTCCATTGGCCATGTCAGCTGGGGCAGATGGGAATTGTAGTTCAGCATATATCTGGAGGGCCAAAAGTTCTCTACACCTACCATATAAGATTGGTAATTTATGAAACACAATTATTTTATCATGTAACTAAAAAGATGAAATCAACCCATTATATGCTGCCTTTAAAAAAAATGAAAACTTGGGGGGGGGGTTAGATATTTGAGAATGTAATAAAGCTGGGAGAAGAAGAAGGAAGGAATTTCAGTTTAAACATTGATTTCCTCTTTTAAAAATCCAGCCCCGATTCCCTAATTCACATCCAGCAACCCTGCATAAAAATGTTTTTTCTTAAGGTACATGAGCCCTGCAAGTTTCCAAGGAAGGCAGCAACACGAAGAGAAGGCCAGGGATGTGCAGCCACACCTTCTCTACCCTTTCCTATTCCCACAAAAGTGTGTGTGTAATTTTTAAACAGAAAAGGGCACAGGCAATGCATGAGCAAGTGGCCAACCACAGAGCCACCATACTCCCACCCTTGCAAGCCGATGTCTGTGTTTTTTACGCCATGATGATACCTTGTCATCTGAGGCTCCGACCACAGACCACATTCTCTGTCACGCTCCTTGTTGATAATTATACTTCTCAAAAACAAGCAAGATGCAAAAGCATCCCTGCAGGCAGCTCAGGCGGCAACAGAAGTGGATTCCTGTCCTGTCCCTAAAACTTGCAGCTCAGAAAGAAGCAACACTGCACATGCCTTGTGATTGGGCTGCGGGCTGCCATAGTCCTACCCTACCTCTGTTAATTTAATGTGCTGTGCTCCTCTTCCATGTAAAATTATGTTGCCTCAGTTCAGAAAGGGGGAAGCCAGACTATTGCTGCTGCTTCTGAGGCGCCAGGCACTCAAGTGAAATGCTAATACAACCGTATGTTGTGCTCATGTGCTTACTCTGTTTCTACCCTGGCGACGTCAGATCATGGGGCCCTCACCATAGCAATGGTTTGCTGCTGGAGTTCAAAAGTGTGGTTTGGCTCTTGAGAAGATGGCTAGAAACCAGTAGAGGAATGAGGTTTCCATTCTTTATCCATTATTCTGTTCTGCTGTTATCAGTTGATACAGAGGGCGGTGGGGGCACAGAATTATAGGGCAGCGCTACAGTCGGCCTGAGTGAAATCTCAGTGCCCCTCCTCTTCCACAGCTCTTTATACCTCCCTCAACCACTTACCCCCTCACATATTCCCCTTCTTTCCTCTCAATGCACCCTCTTGCTCCTCTGCAGCACAGTTAATACCTCCTTTAGCCCCAGCTACTTCCACCTGCCCCTTCCCCAACTCCCCCTCCTCTCCAGCATTCCTCCCCTCCCACTTCCCTCGAGGCCTAAAATTGCCACGCACACAATGTTCCTGCCCTTCTATATGCCCTCTCATTCCTCCCTATTTCTCTCTTGCAGTAAGTGATTGTGCCTTCCCGTTATGCAGGTTATTGTTGAGCTTTGCAGCACAGTACTGTATCTCTCTCCTCTCCCCTGCTGCTGTCTCCACCCCTGTTCCTAACCATTAGCCGGTGACCACATGTTGGGTGGGCCACTTGCCTCTTGTGGTTTTCCTCTTCTGTCTGCAGCTCTCGGTTGCTATCGCAGCCAGCTAGCACCAGACAGGAAGGTTACTTCCTTGTGCAACGGAGCAAGGCTGCTTCAGCTCTTTCTCTGTGAGCGGCTTCTTGTGTCTACGCAGCTTAGTTTCTTGGGGCTTCTGCTTTTGCTATGGGAGGACTGGACTGCTAGAAGAAGCTGTCGGCAGCCAAAATGGATCCAGAGAGAGACGGCGGTAGTGAAGAAGCAGGCAAACAATTGGGTAAGGAAAGGGAAACTAGACTCAGTCTGGCCCATAACCTTTGAATGTAAATGTGAGCAACGGGTCAGCGTTTCTAAAGGGTTTCTTACACGACTGCTATGCACAGTTATGGGGAAGTGTCATAGCTCAGTGGCAGAGTCTCTGCTTTGCATGCAGAAGGTCTCAGGTTCAATCCCCGACATTTCCAGGTTCGGCTAGGAAAGACCCCTTGTTTGAAATCCTGGAGAAATGCTGATGGTCCTGTGTAGACCATGCTGAGCTAGATGGACCAAAGGTGTGATTCAGTATATGGCAGCTTCCTATGACAGGTCAATTATTACTCTGACATTAAAATGCAAGAGACCTGGAGGTTTACTTGTTGGTCGGTTCAATGTTTGACTAAATAAAGCTTGTGTTCTGTCCCTTTAAGGCAGTGGTTCTCAACCTATGGGTCCCCAGATGTCGTTGGACTACAACTCCCATCATCCCTGAGCTTTGGTCTTGCTAGCTAGGGGTGATGGGAGTTGTAGTTCAACAACATCTGGGGACCCACAGGTTGAGAAAGGCTGCTTTAAGCTGCTGTTAGATATATAGTCCGTTACTGGACTACATCTGCCTAGACTAGCAGTGGCTAAAATGGGGACTGAGCAATAAGTGGTATGGCTCATAAGTGAGTTGGTTTAGCACAGGCATCCCCAGACTCGGCCCTCCAGATGTTTTGGGACCACAACTCCCATCATCCCTAGCTAACAGGACCAGTGGTCAGGGATGGTGGGAATTGTAGTCCCAAAACATCTGGTTTAGCACATAGTGGCTAATTTCCTGGCTATTTCCATTCGGTGCAGCAGGTGGCGATACATTGCTTAAGAGAGGCAGAGACTTTTTCTCTAGCTGGGGGAGGACAGAAGGTAGATCTGAATCTCCTGGTGCTTCTGCGGGTGATTGGTAGCAGAGAGAACTTGGGAGAAAGCCAACAGTGGCTTTCTGTGTCAAAGCTGGTACTCAAAAGACAAATTCTTAGGCCAAGAATGTGTTCAGATGTGCTCAGTCACTGAATATTGGGTTTGCCTCCCTTCTGAGTTGCTCTTTCGTACCTGCTTGTGGATCTCAGGGTTCTGTTTTTAAAACAAAGCAAAAGTTGCTGCAAACCTGAAGTCTAACGTAGCTCAAGACCGTGGTTTCCTTGTTCTGTGTGTCGCTTATTCCTGATCAGTTGGTATATGTAGAAACTGAAATGGCAAAGGCCTAATACCGCTGCAGATGTTTTGGGGAAGGGGGTTTGGCACTGCTTGCTTCTCCTAGTAATCTGCAGTTCCAGAAATCACAAATGATAAACCTCACCCTCTGTCCCAGAATGCACCTTGCCCCTTCTGTGTGCAGGCCTGGCCCCCGCTCCATATTTTTCTATTATGTGTTTATTGCATTCCAGCAATTGCTTTCAATATTTTACAGCCTTTTTTGGCCTGAGAAAGTGGAGATTCCCATATTATTAAAACTCACAGTTCCATGTCATTGGCAAGTCAACATCAGAAATCCAGCATAATGCAGACAGCAAGACCACACAAGCATGTCCCCAGACACAGTTTCTTTCTTTTCTTTTTTGAATATTATAACAAATATTGGTACAAATCTCATTCATCATGTTATTTACAATTATTCTCCCTCCCCTCCTCTGGACTTCCCTCAACTCCCCCTGGGCTGAGTTATTTAGTTTTATTTATCATATCCTGCTTTTCCTACACAAAAATAACCCCCCTCCCCCCAAAAAAAGATTTCTCTGAAATATCTGTTACTCAAATGAAATTGTGAAAGTTTATTCAAATCCTGCCAGTGAATCCAGTCCATTCTGTTTCGGCAAATAAACTGTAAATGGTTCTCAGACTCTCTTGAAGTCTTTTTTGTCCTTCTCTCATAGTTATCTGTTAGCTTAGCCAATTCTGCATAGTTCATTAGCTTTTCTTGCCATTGGTCCTTTGATGGTATTTCTTCCGTCTTCCAATATTGTGCAATCAAGATTCTTGCCACTGTTGTAGCATGCAAAATAATGTCCCTTTTTCTTTTGGTAGCTCTTGATTTGAGATACCTAACAAAAAGGCTTCAGGGTGTTTAACAAAATTCATTTTAAACATTTTTTTCAATTCATTGTATATCATTTCCCAATATTTTTAAAATGCATTTGCATTTCCACCACATATGATAAAATGTTCCTTCCTTTTCCTTACATCTCCAACATCTTTTATTTCCTTTCCTAAACATCTTTGCCATTTTCACTGGTGTGATATACCATCTATACATCATTTTCATGTAATTCTCTCCTAATAGTATGCAACCTGTGAATTTTATATCAATTTCCCCCAGCCACAGTTTGACTCTAAGTCAAGATAAAACTTCTGCAAGTTATGACGGCTGCTGTTGGAGGGTACAGATCAGATCAGCATGAGGACAATTCTGATTTAGAGCCATGTGCCACCTGTGACAAATGCATGGCAATAAAATGAGCATATGGGCCCACCAACCAATTGTTTCTTTGGCTACTAAACATATGTGGCATAGAAATGTCTCGGGGAGGCTAACGTGGGGCTGATTTTTGGCTGTGTGGCAGCAGAACTAAGAGCCTGTGGAGCTCAGGCCAAATGAATGTAAGCAGTTGCAAGTCTAAAAGATTGTGTCAATCTGTCTGGATGCTTAAGTGGTTAGAAGATTATGAATATTTAGATTATGAGGTAAATGTCTATATACGCAAACAGCTAAAGCTTATGAGTGACTGGGGCCAAAACCAAACTCTGCTGTAAGGAATCGCTGTGTATGGAAGCAATGACCAGTCTCTTGCCCTGGTTTTGCTCTGTATACTCCCTTTTTCCTCAAATGAATCTTTGCACAAATGACCCAAATCTGCACTGGCATATCAGGTGCCTTCTGAGCTGGCCGGTCAGGTTCTACCTGCAGAGACAGTTTGTTTTGACTGCAATCTGACTGATGTAATTGAACAAAATGCTTTGATGTAATTGAACAAAATGCTTTGGGAGTCACTGAGCCATAGGATCCGTTGGAGCCACCCTGCAGAGCAGCCTTGTTGTCAGGCTTGTCAACAATACTTTAGTGCCACAAATAAGAGCCCAAGGCCACAGTGGAGCATGAAGGGGTCTATGATGACTGCTGGATAATTTGTGCCACAAGGGTTGCTCCATAGACCCCACCATACAACAAATAATACCAAATGACTCGGAAGCAATCGTGCCCTCAAGTTGGACTACAACTCCCATCATCCCCTCACCATTGTTCATGCTGGCTGGGGCTGATGGGAGATGGGGTCCAACAACAATCAAAGGGCACCTCGTCGGCAATCCCTGCAAAAGTAGAACATGGTTGCTAGGCAACTGCAACATTTCTCCCCCCCCCCCCATATAATAGGCCACATAGCCATTGGGTGGCAGTAGATGGGCTGTGAGCCTCCTGGGGTGCATAGAAGGAGCAAAGTAAAATTCAGGATGCGTTGCCAGCATTGTCCCACATGTTAGACTTCTGAAAGAGAACTAATGATTTGTTTCATTTTAACACTCCCATCTTAAAACATTTTCTCTGAAGTTAGACCTATTGATTTGGATGGAGTTAACCTTCAAGTAAGCATGCATAGGATTGGAACCTTATTTTAATTCCCAGATTATGACTATGTTATGATTTGCATGTGAAAAGTGCCTTCCCTTCAGGTAAGCCCAGGGGCATAAAGATGATGGGGGATAACTACTTCGGGGGGGCATGCACCCCACACACATGCACCCCGACAGATACCATTATTTGCAGTGAGAGAGTAGAGGGGGAGCCCCGTAGACACATGGTTTATTGGGTAAAAATGCAAGTTACAGAGGCCCTTCCCGCTTCTGCGTGTTACAGATCTCCCCTTTTTCTACACGTTGGTTCCACCTGGTCACCCAGGTGAAAGGAGCATCCTTCATTCCCCTGGATAGCTCAGCCAGTAGTGCATGAGACTCTTAATCTCAAGGCTGTGGGTTCGAGCCCCACGTTGGGCAAAAGATTCCTGCATTGCAGGGGGTTGGACTAGATGACCCTCATGGGCCCTTCCAGCTCTACAATTCTATGGTTCTGTGCCGTCCACAGCAGAGAAGAGCTGTCATGTTGCAAGGTGCAAGCTTAGATTTCCCTATCTAGTGTTGCTATCCATAGTTCCAAAATAATGAAAATGTAAAATCTGCAGTCTTATGAGATTGAAATACACCACTGAAGGCAGTAATTCCCTCCAGGTTTCTTTGGGGACTGGTTCGCCACATGTTATTTCTTACTCAAAGGCACAGTGACAAGTGCCCAATCTCCCTTCCTCACAATAGTGATTTTGCAGAATGACAAGGAAACAGGGCCACAGAACTCCTGCCCAGATATGGCCAGGACTGATGTGTGTTGAAGCTCTTTAAGCAGTAGGTAGAGATGCAGGAGTGGGGAACTTTTTTCTGTCTACACCCCCTCGTGGATGTCATGCAATAAGCAATAGGCATAGCTAGAGTTTCCAGGGAGTAAATTTGTGCATGCTGCTGGTATTTCTTCCCTGTTCCTCACTACTCTTATTCTCAATAGAAATATCAGTATCTGTTACAGTGGCAATCCGATCACCATCACCAAGTACAGGACAGTTGTCATTTGCAATTTATTTTTTCTCTCTCTCTCTCTCTCTCTCTTTACGAGTTTAGTTTGTGCATAAATGGAACATGTTCTCTTACAATCTATAGTGGCCACTAGAGGACAGTCATGTCTAAGTTTGCTTTGAATGGAGCACCTGTTTCCTCAGCAAACTGGGTTCTCAAGAGGGAGGGCATTTCTTCTTTGGGTAAGTAATTGACAAAGCTCAGAGTGTGGTCAACCCCCTGGATGTTTATGGTTCCATTAAGTCCTTCACACCTGGAAGGAACCAGAAGTGGCTGGTGGGTTTTTGTTATTGTTTTGTCGTTTAGTCGTGTCCGACTCTTTGTGACCCCATGGACCAGAGCACGCCAGGCACTCCTGTCTTCCAC